CAGGACCTCGAGGTCTTGACATGATAGAGGCAGCGTTCGACGGAATGAAACCTTCGAAGACAAGCCTGACACTCGGAGGTGGGAGTGTAGTGACGCGCGGGACATAGGAGTCCATGGCTCCTGGCCTCGTGCACTGCCAGATGTTTACGAAGACGGAACGATGCCGCGCACCACCTGCAGCGGAACGGAAGCTCGACCGCAGGCTCCCCATCATCCTCTGCTGCCTTCAGACTGGGATCCCAGCGTTCGAGGCGTGCGAGGTAGGCTTTGATGGCACGGCGAATGAGCGCGGGCCACCACCTGGCGTCCTCTTGGACCTTCTCCAAGAGGGTCGCAACGGGATCTGCCATTTGAAGGAGGATCGCCGCTGGCTCCGCATACTGTGCTACCGCCTGGATGTCTGCCTGAAACATCCCAATCCAGGACTTAGCCCCATCATTGCGCCAATGCACGTGCAGAAGGTGAAGCAGGGTGGCAGGGCCATGCCTGACTAAACGACAGAGCAGCACAGCTCTCATCTGAGCCAAGGCTAGTAATGGACTGGGGGCCTGCGCATGGCGTAGCACGAAATAGCTGTGCGGTGCTTTGTCTCGCCGTGGCCATCGGCAAAGTCCTCGCCAAAGCGACACATACATCTTGCACCATTGTCGCTTGTAGATGGCAGCTACAAGAAGGGAGGAGGCCCCGGAGAACACAAATCTCGAAATGACGAGGGCTCGAAGGAGAGTTCGCCGAGTCACCAACGGGATGCCAACAGTCGAAAAGAAGCGCCCATACAGTGGTCGCAACGTCCCATAGGCCTGGGCATATCGGAATTGGTTGTCGGCTCCGGGAGTCCCATTGGAGGTAAGGATACCTCCCAGGTGCTTGTAGGAGGCTATCAGAGGCAAGAAATGGCTCTGCTGTAGCACAGCATTGTTGATAACAAAGCCTGGCCTACCTTCGGAGTTGCGCTGCAGACCGTGCTCGGGCTGGGGATCACAGTCCGAAGCCAGCATAAGGGCAGTCTTGTCCGGAGCGTAGGTGAGCTGCATGCCGGCCGAGGCAGCGTGACAGGCCAGAACCTCCGCGGCCTGGACCACACGTTGGCACAGCACCGACGTCGTGGTTGCCACTTGGGCGTGCGCATAGTCGTCAGCCCATGCAGCGCAGCCTACACTGTCAACAGGCGACCAGTGAATCCAGGGAGTAGCTTCCTTTGCGTGGGGCACAGGCGTCTCAAGGCCTTTGGTGCGGAGTGCCATCTCAGCCGCCTTTAGATACGCTGCGAAGCTGAACGCAAAGAGGATGTCGGCCAGGGGGTCCCCTGGCCGGGACCCCCTGGCCGTGAGCACCAAAGTAGCGGAGCCATCCAGTCTGAACCAAGTTCCCTGTAGAAGGTCAGCGATCTGCCCCTGCAAATGCTGGGA